AACAAGAAAGATGCAATGCCTAACTTCCCTTTTTCTCAGGAAGACTGCAAGCAAATTCTTCAACTCTTAAACAAGAGCAAATCCTCCTTCGCCAATAAAGTGGGTAATTCTTCGAATCATGAAGAACTTTAAGGTAAAACATTTTCTTTCGTACGTAATGGAAAGCAAACCATTTAGATTTTGGATAGTGGTGCCACAGACCACATCGTGTGTAGTCCTGAATTTCTCACATCCTCAAAACGTGTTGAAAACCATAATGTTGAATTACCAAATGGTTCCCTTGCTATTGTGACTCATGTAGGCCAAGTGGTTTTCTCTCTCAACCTTGTCCTTGATAATGTTCTATGTGTGCCATTGTTTAGGTTAAACTTAATATCCATTAGCAAATTAGCCTATGATTCCCTATACATCACCATTTTTATAAAACAATTTTGTGTCATATAGGTCCTACGCTTGGGGAAGATGATTGGGACGGGAATTGAACAGGAGGGACTCTACTATCTCAACCCACCAAGGAAGGGAACTTGCAATACGGTAACCATCATAAGTTCTAGCTTGTGGCACCCATCACATAAAGTGTCCATGTTTTTTCCCTTTTTGAACATTAAACCTTATGATTCAAATAAATGTTTCATTTGCCCATTGGCTAAACAAACAAGATCATCTTTTCCATTAAGTTCAATATCTACTAAGTCATGTTTTGAATTAATACATGTTGACATTTGGGGTGGTTATCAAGTTGCTTCCATTTTAGGTGTCAAATATTTTCTCACCATTGTAGATGATCACACTAGGTGCACATGGGTTTATTTGATGAAACACAAATCTGACACACAAGATCTCCTTGTTCAATTTATTCACATGGTCGAAAATCAATTCAACGCTAAAGTCAAAGTGGTTTGAAGTGACAATGGACCTGAGTTAAACTTGACACATTCTATAAGCTCAAAGTTATTCTTCACCAAACTAGTTGCATCAACGCACCACAACAAAATGGTGTTGCTGAACGCAAACATAGGCACTTGTTAAATGTCGCTCGAGCCCTACTTTTCCAAGCCAACCTTCCTAAACGTTTTTGGGGGGACACTATTCTTACTTAGGCCCATCTCATAAATCGTACACCCACACATCTTCTTCAAGGCCAAACACCATACCAAAGATTGTTTCACAAGGAACCTAATTACACGCATCTACGTGTTTTTGGGTGTTTATGTTTTGCATCCACTCATGCACAAAAACCTTCCAAGTTTGATCCTCGTGCACATCGTTGTCTTTTCCTTGGGTATCCTTGTTGTATTTTTATGCGCAAACGGAAGCGAATTTTAACAAAGTACCAATATCAACGTCGTGGGTGAAAACTAAAACAAACAATCTCAAACTAACACAAGAAATTTACGTGGTTCGGTGTAAAGCCTACGTCCACGAGCGAAGCATGACAAGGAATTCCACTAAACAAACGGAGATTACAAAAGAGTGTTTAAACTCTCACAACCCAAATCCCACAAATTACAAACCCTAAACCAAACGAGTAGAGAACTCAAACAAACGGAGAAGATTCTCCCAAATTGCTCTCTAACTCACAAATTGACTCTCACCAAATTGCCACACGTTTGCCATGCACTCATGATTCCAAACGATGACCTCCACCCCAAAACCCAATTAGAGAAAACTCTCTAAGCCATGGTGAGGCACACAAAATACACTAACCCTAAGGTCCTATTTATAGTGCATAAAACTTAGGTTACAATAAGAATCCTAATAGGAAGTAAATACAAATCCTAATCAAATAGGTAATTAACAAAATCTCTCCACCAAGGAACCAACTAAGAAGTCAAAATCCAAACCCAAATAGGACACCAAAACCAAATAGGTAACACAAACCTAATTCTTTGCATCATCCTAATTTTGAGCCGTAAAACCCAACAATCCTTATGGTCAAAAGGGTTATCGTTTATTTGATATCACACTTCAAAAGGTTTTTGTGTCAAGGGATGTAACATTTTTTGAAGATCAATTTCCATACCAAACCTCACATCCTTCTGCTGCTCCTAGTTCTTCGTCCACTACTACCCCTTCACCATTCTCTTTTGATTCGTCCCCTACTCTCCCACATTCATCTCTCACAGAATCCTCCTCACATTTTCCTGATGTCGATGCTTCAATCCCCACCACCCCACCACATTTATCCATTAATACCAACCCTCTCGACACCATCTCACGTATATTATCTTCCCCACCGCTATCACCTACATCTCCCACCCCAGCTCACCCTGCTGTTGCTGCCCCACCACTATCGCACCGTGGCACACGCCCCACCAAACGACCTTTCTCCTGTCAAGACCTGCTTCTTCATCTTCCACGAATGTGGTCAAGTCATCAAGTACTTCTCACCCTATCTCTCAATATTTATCTTACACTCACCTTTCTCCCACACATAAAACCTTTGTCACTAATGTCACAGTCATCCATGAGCCTACCACCTTTTTGCAGGACGTCCAAATCCAAAATGGCATGCTACCATGAAACACAAAATAGATGCTCTTCAGGCCAACCATACTTGGTCCCTTATTCCGCTCCCACCTCACAAAAGACCAATTGATTGCAAATGGGTACAAGGTCAAACTTAAACCTAATGGGACCATCAAGTGCTGCAAAGCCCGGTTGGTTGCGAAGGGATATAGCCAAATAGAAGGAGTTGATTATCGAGAAACTATTGCTCCCATTGAAAAATTGACCACTGTTCGTGTGCTCCTAAGTGTGGTTGCCGTGCGTTAGTGGCATTTGCACCAACTCGATGTCAATAACTCATTTTTACATGGTGACCTTGACAAGGAAGTCTACATGCACTTAACCCTGGTTTCGGACGAAAAAGGGGAGACTCGAGTATGCATGCTACATAAATCCTTGTATGGTTTAAAGCAAGCCTCAAGACAATGGTTCATTAAGCTTTCCATTATTCCTAAGACCGCGGGGTTTCACCAATCATGGTCTGACTATTCATTGTTCATCCGAAGTCGTCAAGGTAACTTCATCGCTTTGTTGGTCTACATTGATGATGTAATCTTGGCAGGAAATAATTTACAAGAAATTGAAGAAACAAAGCAGTTTCTCTCGCAACAATTCAAATTGAAGAACTTCGGCCAACTTAAATATTTCTTGGGGATAAAGGTCCCACGGTCCAAAAGCAGCATCACTTTATGCCAACGAAAGTATGCATTGGATATATTAGATGATGTTGGGTTTTTAGGTGCCGAACCTTCACAATTTCTCGTAGAGCAAAATATTTCTCTCACATAGACAGAAGGAAAGCTTCTGGTCAATGCTTCATCGTACATAAGGCTTGTAGGTAGATTAATCTGCCTGACCATAACAAGGTCGGACTTAGCCTATGATGTGCATATGTTGAGTCAATTTATGGAAAAACCTTGACAACCACATCTCACAAGGTTCTCAAATACATCACAAAAGCATCGAGACAAGGTATTTTTTTGCCATCTACAACATCATTGTAGTTAAGGGCATTTTGTGATGCCGACTAGGCTAGATGCAAAGACACAAGGAGATCGATAACAGGTTACTGCATTCAACTTGGTCAAGCACTGATATCTTGGAAAATGAAGAAGTAAACTACTGTCTCTCGTTCCAGTGTAGAGGCTGAGTACTGTTCCATGGCCACCACATGTGAGATTACATGGTTGAAGAACATTTTAAAGGATTTGAAAGTGCGTCATCCACCACCAGTCATGTTGTTTTGTGACAACCAAACAGCCATATACATCGCTTCGAATCTGGTGTTTCATCAAAGAACAAAGTATATAGAGATTAATTGTCATTTGGTGACAGAGAAGATCCAATGAGGAATAGTTCATATAGCTTATATACGAACAATTGATCAACCAAGTGACATCTTCACCAAACCGTTGAGATCAATGCAGTTTGAAACATTACTCAACAAGTTGGGTGTTATTAACATACACTCCAACTTGAGGGAGAGTGTTAAAGAAGATATCTCAATTGATTAAGTAAATATTGTAAATTGGTAATTAGTTATTTACTTGTTATGTATTTGACTTCCTTGTTTGTAGGCTATAGTTTTAGGATCATGAATGTATCTGATCTCCTATATATTTTGTAATCCTTGTTTAGATCAATACAAGTGAAAGAATTGTACCACACTACGTTTCTTTAGAGATATCCCCTCCATTAACAAGTCCCCCATCAGCATACCTTTTCAACATGGTTCTAGGCGTAATAATGTTCTGCATTTTTGCTCGGGAAGCGGTTTTATACGGTGGTGCTAGAGCGGTTCATTTACCGGAAAATGGTTAGTTTTTGTTGTCTGTCACACAATGAGTAATGCCATACTTACTGGTTACTTATTGCTGCTCTAAAATGTGGGAGCACTAGCTAGGGCTGGTTCGGTATGGGATATTGAACCGAAACTAGTATCCTGAACCTCAAACCGAAATTTTTCGGGATGGAAATTTGAAGACCAATCTTAAACCAAATTTTCGAGTATCCCAAAATATTTTCAGGATTTCGGGACAAATCGGGAATCTAAAATTGAAAAATGAAATTATGAATTGTACTTCAGGGCTACATGTAATGGTTAAGCTCTGCAAATAGGGCTGGAATCCAGACTTGTGGTAATTTAGACTTGCGAAATTTAGACAGATTTGAGAAATTTAGACTTGTGGTAGTTTAGACTTGTGCAGCTGTATCCCCGTCCGAATCTACTGCAATACATTGCCGGTTAAATATCTTCTAAGCTCTAACAAAATCATAACAATATTATCTTTTGGGCTGGTAGAACAGGCAATATAATGAAATGGGAAAAAATTGAACTTTCCCATCTACGGTTAACATGATTCTGTGAAAAAACCCAAAATATTACGAACTACGCGCAAAAAAGCTTCGTCATTTTCTTGTATTCAATAATCATAGGCAAGTAAAATATACCGTTTATTATTTTGGTGAGCAACATATAAAAAAACCCACAATACAATTTACCGCATAATTTCACAACAAATCTAATTTACAAAGTCACTGTAACTAAAGTAGATCCAACCCCACCCCATACAAAAGAGATAACAGAGAACTACAGATTTTACCCATTTGACAATGAACAGCAGGCAGCTAAATTAACATTCTTCAATCCCGCAAAAAATGCAAAAAATAGTATCCGAAATATGAAGTACAGAGACACAGAAGCGCAATTAAACTAAACCGACTAAATTTAAGCAAAGTTTGCTCCAGATTCACAGTCCTGAGGTATGAACTTGCAGACTGAAATGGCAACAGAGTGGGGATAAAAGGCCAAAATAAATGGAGGGTTTGGACAAAAGGTTCGCAGAAGAAATGGGTATTCTTGGAATGTCAAAAGGAACAGAGCACTTACTTGATTCGAGCAAGCTAAGTAGATCTTCGTTTTTCGGTCTGGAGTGAGAATTCCGTGGAGTCCTAAATGCTTCAAAATTGAGATGAACGGAGAAAACTCAGAGCTGGAGAACCCTAACAATGAATGGACGGCACAGATCAATTTGAAACAATCCAATGGTTGAAATTAACTCTAACTATAATTAAAAATATATATAATATATTTGTTTAAATATATATATATATAATAATTAATAATATATATTTTCGGTTTGGTATGAGATTCTTGAAATATTGAGAAGACAATCTCAAATCTCATACCGAAATTTCGGAATCGGTATGGAATAGCATCCCAAAAATTTTGAGAATTTTGGTTTGGAAAATTTTTTATTTGAGATCGGAATTTTTTCAGTTCAGTTTGGGATTTGGGAAATTTTTTCCACTTCCTAGTACCAGCCACGGTTTGCAGTAGTGTTTATATTTGCTATAGCCTATAAAGTTTGACTTTTTTCTATTTCTACGGACCAGATGAAAGGATGGATGGCTGAGCCTGAAATCTCAAATATAATTTTTTTTTTTTTTGCCTAATCATTTAGGGAACAGGATTCAAACTTTTGGGATATCTTCTTAAAATTGTGAAATAGAAGCACTACTAGACCATGGTGTTGTTCTTGTCGTTAGAAGTGGAAATGTTATTCGTTTTTCTATAGTTGCAAAAGAATCATTTGGAGAGCAAGGATTTGAACTCTTGAGATATCTTTTAAAATTGAGAAGTTGAAATGTTTTTTGTTTTAATATAATTTCAAAAGAAATCATTTGGACTAGCCAACCGCGCCACCACCCCGTTGTTCAAAGTCTTTTTTTCTTTTTTTCTTTTTTTGGTTAAAGAGCACATAAAGTGGCCCATTTACCACCTATATGTCATATAGCCCACATCTGCACAACCCACCCTAAAAATTTTGCTTGGTAAAAAATGGTTTGAAGGGGAGCTGCATTACCATTCAAATTTGATGCTTAGAGAAAGATTAAAGCAACCTTGCTAGACACATTTACGAAATAATACTGTGGTTTATATCTTTATGCATAATACTTGGGTATTGAGAACTTACCAATCAGTACTCAAAATACTCACTCATTACGTCGATCAATAATTTTGCGACACTTACATCTTGTTATGTGGATTGCCTATCTTCTTCCTTCATGGGAGATCTGGTCAATCCCTCACCTCCTTCTGGGTGTTCCCATCCTGTCACCTCCGTCGACTCAACCCTTTCACCTCTATCGACCCAACCTCGTCATTTCCATCATTCCCACCCGTCTCTACCATCGACTCCGCCTCCAATCCGTCCCCTTATTTCGTGGCAGCCATGGCAGTAGGGGAGGAAGGTGACAGCGAATCATGAAATGGTTTCATGGAAGGTTTTGTATTGATTGACATGGAAGAAGATGAGTATGATCATATTTGTAATGAACATTAAAAAAAGGGTGTTTGGTTGTGAATATTAAATGAACAGATGTTGTAATATTTTTGAATCATGTAATAGGTCAGTATTTATTGGATACTGAATGATGTATACCCATATTGTCCTATCTTTATTCCGTGGAATTAATCCTTAATTCTAAAATTTATGAATTATACACTTTCGATATTATGGATTAAGTGAAAAATGGGAACAAAAAGGTGTGAATGAATGGAACAATATATATCTGAGGTGGGGTCGTCAGTAGTGTACTAGAGGACTACTTGCTGAGGAAGTATTGGATATCTCCATCTTCCAATCACAAAATTCAAATATATTTTTATAAAGAGGGAGGAAAGAAAGTGATTAAACTTGGATAAGGGCACTCTAGATCACATGAATGCAGTTTTGAAGAATTGAAATTATGGATGACCAACCTGAACCTGATTTTTCTTAGTACCATCTTCAAACTGATTCGTCAAAGTCTTGTTTAATCATTTGAATATTACGAGTTCTCCTTCTCTCTTAGGATATGAGATGATGATTACGTGACTTACAATGTATACATTCGTTGTTGTATAGAAGAAAAAAATGATTTTCACACACATATTTTCAGTTCCTACGAACTCCTTTTCTAGTCATTGAATTGAACAAATTAAAAGAGAATCAAATATAAAAATTAGTGAGACTACAAAAGGTGCAAAATGATGCATAGAAATCACTCCATATTAGAAAGTCTAGTAAGTCTAGTATTATTACGGGAGATCTCAATACGGAAAAAGATCCTTGTCGGAACCTTTTCCTAGGGATCTTAGGGATCCGTGATCGTGACCGCTTATTGTACATCATGCGGTCATAAATCATTTCAAAATTTAAAATTAAATATAAATAGTACCTAACAAAAAATGACCGCACGATGTACGATGAATGGTCACAATCACGATCACGGGATCCCTAGGAAAAGGATCCGGCGAGGATCTTTTTCCATTTCAACACATCATTTTTTACCACATGCACGACCCACTTATTTGTGATCGTTGTGTTAAAAAAGTGATAGAAAATCAATGAATAAAAACAATAAGGTGTGCAAATGAATGAGTTGAGTAGAAAAAACAATTCGTGGCTATTCAAGAATGAGTAAGAACACCCTACACAAAAATTTTCTTGTTCGGGTCACAAAATTTCATGTTTATAATTTGAACCCTTCATATTATAAATTACTTTATAAAAATCATCTTTGCATAAAAGAAATTAAAACTAAGGTAGCAAATAGATAGACTGTATGTAATGCTTTTATCCTATTTTGTCCATCTATTTTTATGTTGTTCCATGACAAAATGACCTTGTTTTAATTGAAATTTTTGTAGAGCTAATATTTACAAAGTGATTCATAATATAAACGGTTATAATAATAAATACAAAGTTGTATGAATTGAAAATGAAGAGTTTTGACGATGAGCTCTTACTTATATATTGAGTAGCCAAGTATTATTAGTGTAGAAATCATTTACGTTATTGAGAAATGCTAAGAAAACTCTTAAAAGTGGAATTATCTATAGACTCTTTGTCACTTCATGTTTTTTACACAGTATTTTATAATATTGACACAAAAAAATTAATGTTAAACTCTAAAGTGACAAAGGGATTATGAAAAATCTCACTTTAAGAGAATTTCGTTAGCATTTCTCATTATAATTTGATTTTGAAGTTGTGAGAAATGTTAAGAATGATTTTTTAAAGTGAGACTTCTCAAGAACTTTGCCAGTTCACATTCTTACTACTTTTATGTTAAAATTATAAAATATTATAAAAAAAGACATGTAGTAACAGAAAGTTTAAAGTTCCAAAGAATCTACTTACCATACTCTTGGATTTGTAATTCAATGTAGTAAAAGGACTCGTAACTGATTCTGACATATTTTATGACTTGGAGCAGATTCCAAAATGTAAAAGCATTCTAAGAGCTAAACTTCTAAGAGGGGTTGTCTCGCAGAAAAGGAAAACTTCCGACAGGGGTTGATCAGAAGGACAAAATATAATAAATTAAAGAGAATAAAAACGCGTGGCACGTCAGCAGACTTGCTGAGGTGCGATCAAATGCTTCTGGAGTATTCTGAAGTGAGTTATAAGTTACTTTGCAGTTGCACCTTCATCTCAGTTCAAACTTCACTCGCTCAAACACAGAGAGAAAAGAAACATATGGGAACACAGGGAAGCAACAGAAAAACAGGAGGGGTTTCGGACGCAGTAGGGGTCAGATTCAACCCCACTCCGGAAGAAATGGTGGATCATTACTTGAAGCTCAAGAAACAGGACAAGGGTTTCAAATCTGATCACATCGCTGAATTCGACGTCTGCAACTTGGACCCTTGGGATTTGGCTGGTGATTGTTCAATTCGTCTCACTCTTTCTTCACTGTTTATTTCTCATGATTCATTAACAATCCATTGTTATGAAAAATTTCATAAAAGAAAATAGTGTTTTGTACTTAGTACTTGGTTTTTGAAGAACTGAATTGGGTCGGCATCGATTTCTTGTTTTGATTTTATGTTGTGTTGAATTTCTCACTAACAATTATGTTTAAGTTCCCAAAGGGGAAAAATTACTCTGTTTTTAGTACTGTTTTTCAAGACTTCAATTGGGTTGGCCTCAATTCTTTGTTCAGTTTTGTTTTTGCGTTGTAATATGCAGCTCGCATTCCATCCGACGATATGGTGTGGTACTTCTTCAGCCCTAAGGAGTACAAGTATATCAATAGCACCCGTTACAACCGAACCACACCAGGAGGTCAGTGGAAAATGACAGGCAAGGAGCGTCCGGTCAAGGCTCGGCTGTCCAAAGCTGTCATTGGGAAGAAGAGGACCTTGACATTCTACCAACGTTGTGGGCCTCAACGCAAACTGAAAAAAACCAACTGGGTCAGGCACGAGTACAGTCTCATTGATAGTGAAGCCAACTCTAATCCTAAGCTGCGTCAGGTCACTCTCTTTTTCAATTGCATCTTCGTTCACATTTGTGTCGTATTGATGCTTCCGTGTGTAACATACATGAAGTAGTAGTTTTGAAGTGTGACAATTGAATTTGCTCTATAATTCATGATATTGTTATCCAACTTATGTAGAAGGATTTTGTTCTCAATCGCATGAAGAAAGAATTTGATGAAGAGGATACCTCAATTGGTGAAGTTGAACTTGGCAGCTACAGTGTGTCTAATGTTGAAGATCATGCTGCAGCTGCTGTGACTCCAGAGGTGAGAATGAGAATCGTCTTGTTTTTGAACATTTTTCTTATGGATTATGCGAAATTTATCCCAACTTAATGCATCACTCCATGCACTTCAGTCACAGGATTACAGTTCCTCTACATTCCTATCATCAGGATACATAGAGCCGGGAGATGTTCTGCAAGCCAATGGCACTAATTATGATTGTAATGCAATACAATCACCATTTGGAGATAATCATTATTCTTATATCGATAAGAATGATATTTCAAACTATGATAAAGGTGATTTGTTCACCATGTCTGATTTCGAAAATGAACTTCTAGATGATATGTGTCAAGAGGTGAGAATAAAATACTTATTTGAATATTTCTAATATGAGCTTTAATAATACAAGTGTATCAAAACCTTCTTGTTTGTGATTTGTTCGGAGATTTTATGCATACTGATGTCTTTATGATGAATGTTGGCAGCCTCGAGTTGGAGATTTTTATTCACATTTTACATACAAGAATAATATTTCAGCCAATGCTGAAAATGAGGCAGTTAGCTACACCGCGTATGATTTTAAAAATCAAAATGCAGATGATATGATTCAAGAGGTGCGAAGAATCATGCTTGACCATTTTTATACCAACTTCTTAATATTGAACACAAGATGTATACCAAAAACTCAATGCTTGCTTGTTTGTGATTCTTAATCTAGCAGTCTTATCTTCAACCAGAAAAACATGCGAGAAGTGTTCTGGATGCTGATGTCTGTAACAGTGGCTACAACAATTGGCAACCACAATTTTGGAATAAAGATTCTTATCTTACAGATAAGAATAATATTTCAACCAATAATGAGTGTGAACAATTTAGCAACACACATTTTAATTTTGAAAATTGAGTTACAAATGAAAGGACTTCAGAGGTGAGAATGAGAATGCTCTTTGAACTTTTGCTGTATGAACTTCTTGTTATGAATATATTCAAACTTAGCTTTTTACTTGTTCATGATTCTTAATCTAGGTATGTCTTCCGCAAGAAGAAGATTTGGAATTGGCTTTTCATCTACCTCAGCTAGAGGACTACACACTGGAGCCACCAATGAACAAAAAAGTGGGAGATGTTTTGCATGACAATAACTATGTTTGCTAGTCCTATGAAGAAATAATATATTCTTATTTTATCTGACTACAAGCTACGGAAGTGCAGTAAGCATTGATGTGGACGCTGATGTAGGATCATTTATCTGTGAAAGACCATTTTGATTTAGCTAAGCGAGAAAAGCAAAGAGGCCCTTTGAATTAGGCAAGGAAGAGGTAGCTGGCAGCAACTGAAAACATTCTTTCAATTTCCGGAAAATCTCCCTGAAGTCAGTTCATAGTCTTCCACATAATAATAGAAAGAGATCCTCCTCTCCGGATCTCTTTCTCCAAGGTCAGTAAATCAAGTGATCCGAACTTTTGAAATTTAGTTCAACAACAAAAATTTATTATAACTTTTAAGGGTCCGAATTTCAATAGATATTGAATCAAATTTCAATAACCCGGATCACTTGATCTGCGGATTTTGAAGGAAAAGATTTGGAAATGATCTCTTTTCCAGAATAATGTTTCAACCAAGCCGTAGTTCTCACTGTATTGGCAGTGCTTTTGTTTGTTCTGCAGCTGCTACTGCAAGGCTACCGGAGTTTTTATCAGTCTACATATTAGTGTTACTTTACATGTGTTTTTGTGTATAATTGGAATGACTATTAAAACATATGGTTGTAGTTGGTCTTAAACCTTTCTATATGTGTATCCTTGTGTATTGTTTATCAGAACATCTTATTTTGCATATTCTTTTCTATGTACTAACCTTCATGCATGCGCTCACGCATGCACAAGGTATTTTTTGAATTACGGCATGTTATACGCGATTTACACGTTTTAAATGTATTTATATGCGTAAATCGACAAAAGGAAAGTCAAATATTTGAAGTAAATGAATAATCTTAGATCATGCTAGAAGAAACTTCTTATAAACCAATTAAGGCAGCTAAATTCACATAATAAAATTGGTCTCTATAGAATTTACATTAAGAGTAGAGAAAATAATATTTAATAAACAACTGATTGAATCACATTGTTGGTAGCTCATTGTGCGGCTAAGCCCACCACCTTCTCATAGTGTGGATAATATCGTTTGTTAAAAAAAAAAACAAAAAAAAAACAATCATTTGACAACTAATTTAATCACATTATTATTTACATGTGAAATACTTTTTTTATAACCGGCATTACACGCCTCTTAAGATGTTTTGAACGTGTTTTAAAATAGAGAAATTGAATCACATTATTACTAAGCTATTATGAGGTACTAATTAAAAAAACAGCACACAAAAAAAAAAAACACACACACACACAAAAACTAATTAAAATGATGAAGGTATTTTTTGAACTACGGCGTGCTACGCGTGATTTACACGTTTTAAATATACTTATATGGGTAAATTGACAAAAGGAAAGTCAAATATTTGAAGTAAATGAATAATCTTAGATCATGCTAGAAGAAATCTTTTATAAACTAATTAAAGCAACTGAATTCATATAATAAAATCGGTCTCTATAGAATTTACATTAAGAATAGAGAAAATGTAGATAATATCATTTGTTAGAAAAAAAAAAACAATCATTTGACAACTAATTTAATGTAATTTAATCACATTTTTATCTATGTGCGAAAGACCTTTTTTTTTTTTTTTTTTATAACCGGCATTACATTTTTATCTTATAAGCACCTAACCTTTGCAATAATGGGGGAAGCCAATTGGTCTTGAGATGCACGGTCCGGGCTTGGTGCTGGGCTTTGAGCAAACCTCCTTTCTTTAGTCTTTTTGGGCCCTCCTTGTTTTCGGCCCAAAGTTCAAATGTTAACCCAAACACAAGGCAAGAACTGTTACCAAGTGAATTTGAAGCTAATCTAATGGAGCAAAACGTGTGCCATGAACAAGACAATGCTATCACCACATTAAGAAGTGAGGAGGAGATCGACAACGAATTGAATGGACTAATTGAAGAAGAAGAAAAGATCGAAAACTCAAAACGAATTGAATGAACTAATTGAAGACGAATAAAAGATCGAAAAGTCAAAGATGGAGGAACCTTTGCTTGGGCCAACTAGTCAAACTACCTTCACCAACCGGTTACTCCCTACTGAAATTCTAGTGTTGAAGCAAATTCATCTCTACTGGAAATTCCCAGTTGCGATGTCTTTGAATCCATTGATCCTAAAGCTCTAGATTCATTTACTCTAAATGCTTCCAAAGATCCACTTGTAGTTCGCTTACCGAATTATGGAAGAGTATGGAATCGAACCAAAAATTGAGGATATGTTTGGTCAACTCTATTCCACTCCAATAGCCAAGATATGGTGGAAGAGACCACGTAAAAAGGTGAAGAAGAGAAAGAAGTCTCAAGCTTTGAAATTTAAGAAAATACAGAAATATGTAGTGGCTCATTGTCTTGCATAGAGTGGAAGACGAGGAACACAAAGAAGATGCATGAAGTGGTTCCTCATTCAATGATCCACCATCTTCGACTTAATTTCGGCATAGTCAGGTTGAGAAATTTAAGTCACGTGACTTAACATGTGATACACTTTAAAGAGTAATACCATTAATTTATCAAGGTTGAGTTTCTTAATTGGCTAGTTTTTGGAAAAATCGAGAAATGTAAAGTTTTTGGCCCTTTTTGGGTGAACTATTTGTTTTAGTGGAGCTTACGGGACTAGGAGTGTACACTGGAATGCAGTTTTGGATGACCAACTTGAACTTAAATTTTTCAAGTACTCTCTTCAACCATACTCGTTAAAAACGATTTTTACACACATTTTCACTTTATACAAACTCCTTATCTAGTCATTGAACTGAACAAATTAAAATAGAATCAAATACTAAAATTAAGTGAGAATGCAGAAGGTGTAAAATGATGGGTAGAAATCACTCCATATTAGTTACCGAAGATTTCGACACATTATTTTTTACCACACACACAATCCATACTTATTTGTGATCGTTACATTAAAAACTTACAAAATATCCATGAATAAAAAAAGGTTGCAACTCAAAAAAAATGAGTGTAGAAAGAACAATACTTGGTTACTCAAGAATAAGTAGGAACACTTACTCAAAATTCTTCGTGATCAGAATAGTTCATATTATAAATCACTTTATAAAGATCATCTTTGTAAAAAAAATTGAATTAAAACGAAAGTCGTTTAGTTAATCAACAAATAGATCGACAATTCGTAATGATTCTTACCATCTGTGTCCATCTGTTTTTATATTGTTCAATAACTAAACAACGTTGTTTTAATTGAAATTTTTGCAGAGATAGTCTGTATAGAATGATTAATAATATGAAAGGTTATGATTATACACACAAAGTTCTACGAATTGGAAACTAAAACTCTTGAGTGAGAATTCATACTTATCCTTTGGGTAGCCAAGTATTATTTGTGTAGAAATCATTTCTATTACAAAAAATGTTACTTCTACCACAATTTTCATATCACATTTTGTACTATTTCTTTAATAGAGATGAGACTCTCATATATTGGTAAGTCCTATATCTCTTAGAGAGATGATACAAATATAGTATAAAAGATGTGGTAAGTGTAGCATTACTCCGACAAATTTTTTGACTTTGGGCAGATTCCAAAATTAAAAATATTCTAAAAGCTAAACTTCCAAGCCACTTAGTATTACGATTTAGTGATTTTCTCATCACTTGTAAGTAAAAGGTTTTAGATTCGATTATCTCAAAAGACGAATTTTAACCACATTATTACTAGCCTATTATGAAGCTAAACTCATCCCTTAATGTCATTTGTTAAAAAAAAAAAAAAAAAAAAAAAAAAAAAAAAGGCTGAACTTTCAATAGCGGTTGTCTCTCAGTAAAAGGGTAGAGCTATAGAATACCCTTCCAAGAGCGGTTGATCAAAAGCACAAAATATATAAAAACTAAAAATTATCAAAAAAACGCGTGGCAAGTCAGCAGACTTGCTTGGGAAGTGCAGGACTTGATTGGTTGGGATCAAATACTACTGGAGTATTCAGAAGTGAGTTATAAACTACTTGCAATCGCACCTTCTTCTCAGTTCAAACTTCACACTCACAAAAACAGAGAGAAAGAAAAGAAACATATGGGAAGCAACAGAAAAACAAGAGGAGGAGGGGCATCAGACCCAGTAGGGTTCAGATTCTACCCCACTCCGGAGGAACTGGTGAGCCATTACTTGAAGCTCAAGAAACAGGACAACGATTTCAAATCTGATCACATTGCTGAATTCGATGTCTGCAACTTCGACCCTTGGGATTTGGCTGGTAATTATTAAATTTGTCTCACTCTTTCTTTACTGTTTATTTCTCATTATTCAGTAGCAATCCATTGTTATGAAAAATTTCCCAAAAAATGTAGTGTTTTGTATTTAGTACTCTGTTTTCGAAGAACTGAATTTGGTTGGCATCAATTTCTTGTTTTGAATTTATTTCGTGTTGAATTTCTCACTAGCAATCATGTATAAGTTCCCCAAGGGAAAAAGAATTGCTCTGATTTTAGTACTTGGTTTGTCAAGACTTGAATTGGGTTGGCCTCAATTCTTGGTTTGATTTTTTTTTCCTTTTTTTTTTTTTTTTTTTGCATTATAATTTGCAGCTCGCATTCCATCCGACGATATGGTGTGGTACATCTTCAGCCGAAAGGATTACAAGTACATCAACAGCACCCGGTCCAACCGAGCCACACCAGGAGGCCACTGGAAAATCACAGGCAAGGAGCGTGCGATCAAGGCTCGGCGGTCCAAATCCGTCATTGGGAAGAAAAGGACCTTGACATTCTACCAACGTTGTCAGCCTAAACCCAAAAAAACCGACTGGGTCATGCACGAGTTCTATCTCATTGATAGTGAGGCCAGCTCTAATCCTAAGCTGCATCAGGTTAGTCTCTTTTTCAGTTGCAGAAGTTGTTATTTTGGATCTTTGTTTATTATCTTTGGATTATGCAGCATCTTGAACAGTCTAAAAAAAAAAAAAAAATGCAGCATCAAAATTTTGTGTGTCGGATTGCTGTTTCCGTGTTTAACATGCATGAATTATTAGTTTTGAAGTGTGACAATGGAATTTGATCTATAATTCATAATGTTATCCAACTTATGCAGAATGATTTTGTTCTCTGCCGCATGAAGAAAAATTCCGATATGGAGGATACCTCAATCGGTGAAGTTGAACTTGGCAGCTGCAGTGTGTCTAATGTTGAAGATCATGCTGCAGCTGTTGTGACTCCAGAGGTGAGAATGAGAACCGTCTCGTCTTTCAACATTTTTCTTATGGATGTCGATATATTGAAACTTAATGCATCTCTCTTTCATGCTCTTCACTCACAGGATTACAGTTCCTCTACATTCCTGTCATCAGGATACATAGAGTTGGGAGATATTCCTCATGGCAATGACAATATTGATGATTGCAATGCAATGCAATCACCATTTGGATATAATAATTATTCTTATCCCGATAAGAATGATATTTCAACCTGTGATGAAGGTGAACCTCTTGGCTTCACCATGTCTGATTTTGAAAATGAAGTTCCAGATCATATGTCTCAAGAGGTGAGAATAAACATTCTTATTTGAATATTTCTAATATGAACTTTAATAACACAAAATGTTCATCAGAACTTAAACCTTCTCATTTGTGAATTTTGATCCAACTATGTCTTTAGCCACAAGAAGACATGGAAGAAGATATTCAAACTAAACTTCTTGCTTGTTCATGATTCTTAATCTAGGTATGTCCTCCACGAGAAGAAAATCTGGAATTGTTCTTTTATCCACCTCAGCCAGAGGACTACACATTGGAGCCACTAATGAACATGACAGTGGGAAATGTTTTGCATGACAATGAGTTTCGGTCCCCGATTTGAAGCTACACCAAGTTCTTAAATAAAATTATAGTTAACTATGATTGTTAGTCCTATGAAGAAACAATGTAAACTCATTTTGAATGACTAAAAGCTACCCTAGTGCAGTAAGCATTGATGGGAACACTGAAGTAGTGTCATGTATGTGTAAAGGACTATTCTGCATTGGCTAAAGGAGAATAGCAAAAGAGGCCTTTTGGTTTAGGCATGAAAGAGGTAGCTGGCTGCAATTGAAACATTCTTTCAATTTCCCGAAAATAATCTCCTCAGGCCATTAATCAAGTCCTCCACAGATCATTGATTCGATCAAGCACTGTAGTTCTCGCCTTATTGGCAATGCTATTGTTTGTTCTGAAGATGTTGCATAGCGGTTGGAGTCTCTATCAGTCAACATATTATCGATGCTTAAGATGTGTTTTTGTGTATTATTGGAATAACCATCAAAATATATGGTTGTAGTTTAAGTCTTAAACCCTTTTATAAGTATATCCTTGTGTATTGTTTTTAAGAACCTCTTAAAATTGAATAGAATTTTGCATTTTCTTTTCTTTTTCCAAATATACATATATATATATATATATGAGTTTTGTACCCAACAATGTTAATTATTACATGTTGTCATAGTTTCAGCATACTAAGTGCAGCTACAAAATCGAACAAACCGTCATTCCCTTTAAATAATATTTCTTCGTAATTTTAATTAAAGGGTGTTTCTCTTGTGGAGCATTACAAGAGACTGTAATTAAGAGATTACTTAATGTTGATTATAAATTTGCTCCTTCAGTTTTAGTAGTTGTTCTATTTGGGTCTTTAAACCTTTTGATTACCAAATTGTTCCCCTAACTTTTAAAATGTGGTAAAATGAGAATTCATTACAACCTAATAAATGGTTTAAGTTCACAACGGTTTCCATGGGTTCTTATTCATGTGGTGGTACTTTTATTCATGTCCGTGTAAATTATCTCCAAATTAAATTATTGGTCCTTAGGAAATACACGTTCAACACCTATGTACATTAGTACAAAAAAGTTTGCGAGCAAAATAAAAAAACACGTTGCCTGAAAATTAACCCGACGACATCCTCGTCACGCGCAAAGTCCATGAGAGCAGAGTTTGCGCAACGCAGGTGCTGTCGTCGCGCAAAGATGACAGCAAAAGCTCTTTGTGCGGCGCAAGTTATGTCGTCACGCAAAGTCCATTTGCACGACAAATAAGTAACGTGTATCATGCAAACCCTTTTTTTTTTTTTTTTTGCTAAAATATTTTTTATAAATATTGTAATTAAATTATAAACAATAATTAATAAACCAAGAAAATGTATTTAATTATAAAATATATGAAAATGTTGATGTCTGAACATAAAAGAAAAGAACTACAAGGAGCCTTCTAGGTTTGATTCATCATGATGCTAGATATTGGCTACACAAAGTGGCTAGGAGGTCGAAGGTGGAGCAAGATCAGCGCATCGGGATTTGAAGGCCGAACATATGCAAGGCCCGAAAGATCATACTCATCTTATCGTCCTGGGCCGATAATTGGGCTCCCGAGCTTCCTTGCAAAGTATTACTTTGCAAGACAAATATCATTGTGGTAAAGCACACCCTTTGTTCTAAATATGAGCTGCCATGTGATAAAACGTAAGAAATAGGTTGCAGAGAAGATATAGGAAACAAAGGCAATATACAGATTAAGGGAACAAAGGCAATACCAAAGTTGATTACATTTAATAGTTCTCAAAGCAAATTGAAAGCTTAAGTACATGGAAGATAAGGTTGGCTTGTAGCTACCATTTGAAATAAAAGCAGTAATTCAATGATTAAATTGACTGACATCATGATAATATCATCAAGCTCATAGCTAGCCAACTAAGGTAGAGAGAAAGTTCGAAAGGATAAGAGGTCATCATAGTTGGCAATTGGTACATGATTTATATAATGGAAATCTGCCGTAATCCAATTATTAACCCTAAAAATGTATCTTACAACATAGGTGCATTGCAAATAAGAGACAAAACCCCTCCTCTAATAACTCTCAAGCAAGCATGTAGCTAAAGAAAGATAAACAGATTATGCATGCAGCAAATAGCTATTTTAATTATGTTTCTAAATTTTAAATTCTCATACCAGGAATTTGAAATGTTATTTGAAGATTTTGGAGGGTTTGATGGGCTGTACATGAAAATGCATGCCTGTGGCATTCCAACTGCTGTTCACCTGATGTGGATTCCTCATTCTGAGTTGGGTATCTGTCAACAATTTCTCTTGCCCATAAGGCTGTCTCATCAATTGTTTAATGCGTTGTGGAAGACTAGAGCAGTATCATATACAAGAGATTGGGTTCTTCAGAAGTTCAAAAATATAAATGACGACATAATGATGACGATAGTATGTGCTGGATTATAAAAGGAAAGAATCTCCATACCCTGAGTCTGTGATCCCCACCAATTATTTTAATGCTAAGAATATGCTCATCATCGTCAAGAAGCTCCAATCTCTCAGTACTTGTTGTGGCAGGAAGCCCAGACTTCACATCAACTTCTCTGAGACTTCCAATCTCAAGATTTCCCTGCACCACACACCTGCTGACAAATGGCTTATACTTTTGCGGTTGATCAAATCGTCTTTACCAACAACCAAACCTGAAGAGAAACAAAACAATTCATATTCCGGAAAAGGGATAGCCAAAAAACATATTTATACTAATACAGTAGTTTCATGTCAACCATCCAGAGATGCAGCATTGCCCTCAATATTTGTTGGCAAATTATCATTGCAGTTATCCTGCCCATTCTCAATGAGGATCTTTCTCAAACACACCTTAATCTTCCAGTTTCCTGGAAACAAGGTATTAGAAAACAATCGAACATTAAACAAGAAAAGCAGTAATTACATTTCTGAGCCAAAGAACAAGAACATAAAAAAACCCCCAAAAAAGCAATCAAAAATTCCTTTTTTTCTCTGTTTCTGCTCAATTTTCTTAACTACACACACAGAGATACTGTGATAGAAGAACTACAATGACCTAATCGATTGACACCCCCACAATAACGTAGGCAAAATCATTAAGCAACCCAACCGAAAACACCACGGATCAAAACCAGATGCTCTCCAAAAATGCAATCAAACATGTCCTTAAGGAAAAAGAACAATACTTTACGGACCAAAAAGAGCAAAAACAATCCGAAATCGAATCCTGGTTACCCCAGTTTCACAAACTGATACCTCAACTCCTATATCAAACTCCAAATCCAATTGTAGCATAAACACCCACCTACCTATATGTTACATGCATGATATTTACATCTCCAACAGTAGCTGTTATCATTGGCAAGCTGCCTCCTGGAATTCCACACAATCCTGTGAGATATGTGGAAGCCTTGCATATCACAAACAATGTAGCAAGAGCAGTGGCAGTTTCTACAACAGGCAGCTTTCTGTCGTAATTGGATTCTGTTTGCATTGAAACATCTGCCAATAAGAAATATCTGCAAAGATTATTTAAAGCTGGCATGCCTTTGGAGAATAACTGGGAACGAAAAATTATCGTTGGCCAAAGAAGTTTGACTAGATTATTTGCAGGATGAGAAATCCATCCCATCAGTTGATGTTGAGGCCTCAGGAGGTATTTTAGAGGCCAAAGCAAACAACACCATGAAATACAGAGCACAAATAACATTGTCTGCTGCTACTCATGAGAGCCTCTGAAACCACAACATAATTAACAGCTACAGCAATAAACCAAAAGGAAAAGAAGAGAAAGAAAACGTTTTAGTCATAACTATATAAACTCATACGGTTAAACACACCAATTCAGAAGCACCAAAACTAAGCTTCAAAGGAAAAACGTAGAATCATGTGTTCAGTTGTAGGATGCATAACATGTCCGTTTAATAGACATGATAACATGGACAGAAAGGAATCAAGAAACGTATTACAATCATACAATCTGTTTACTGAATATCCATATACATAAGCTGACATTCCAAAGACACTTACATCCACCAATATAGCTACCCATGAGAGCATAAGCTATTTTCCAATTATCTGGACCCAGTGATCGCATGGGCACCATTTGAAATGCCACGAGAGTTCCAACCATAGTCGCAACTGTTACATACATGAAGTTACAAATAATCAATATGAAACTTCAATGCCACTAGCTCATACAAAAAAACAGGGTCAAAACCAATATTTTAAAAGGCTCACCTCAGGGCACGCCTAGGTGGCCTATGAGGCTGGGCATGAGGGTTGCCGCCTCTGTTTTGAGGGAGTGGGCGGAAGGAGTCACCGGAATAACCTAGGCGGCGGAGGCAAGCCTTAGGGTGCCTAGGCGTCTCTGTTTGGCTGCTTAAACCCAAATTTTGGGTAGGATTTTAACTGCCTCATACCTTTTCCTTGCACTATCGTCTCTTTGTCTTCTTTTTTCTTTCTTTTTTTATCTTTTTTTTTCTGATTTTTATTTTTTTATATAACGGATGTGTGTGCTGTCTACGTGTATTGTTATATGTGTGCTCATTGTGCTTTTCATCCTCTATTGATTAATAATGTTCTTTTTTTTTTAAATAATATATGTGTACACTCAATGTATATATTAAAAAAATTTAGGTCCCGCGAGGGTTTGCCTCACTCCTCACGCCTCACACCAAGGCCGGGCTATCCCTCAGATGCCTTGCCCATGCCTCACACTTTTAATAATTTGGTCAAAACTCAAAATAAAGCCTATCAAACATATTGATCCCATTTAGAATCACAAGCAAGAAAATATTACCTGATCCAAGCACGAAAGCTAAGAGCAAAGTCCCCATGGACCGCATCACTGCACAAGTCAGCTCTATATAATAGCAATGGAATAGATAATGGTAGAAGGAACTCCAAGACAATGGAATATGCAGGCGCTTCAAAAGGAATTATGCCAAAATTACTTGCTGCAAGCCCAACCAAAGTGCTTACAAGGGCAGCCCACCATTCCACCAATCTTCGTCTTCTTGGACCTTGAAATTCAATCCACAAATACACATTCACTCAATGTAAGCTCAAATCAAGTCATTCATTATAAGCACAAATCTCATTTCCTAGCATCAACACAGAATAAAAATTCTCTTCTCGAATCTCGGGTGTCCAATAAGAACGTGGGCATGTTTGGTTTGATTGCAATTATGATTTCCAGACAGTGAATTGGCCAAAGCTCAAATCTTTTTCTTTTGATCGATGAAATTTTCCCCCAACCAAACGGACATAAGTAATTAGCAAGTGTGAATAGGCACCAAAATAAATTATAATGTATATTCTCTGGTATCAAATAAGAACATGGGCATGTTTGGATTGATTAGAAGTATGATTTCCATGCAGTGAATTACCAAAAGCTCAAATCTTTTTCTCTTCGATCGATGATATTTTCTTGGCAACCAAACAGTAACTAAAATGTGAGAAACAAGACTGAAAGGGGTATTAACATTACCAGAGGCCAAAAGCACCGGTGGCGAACAGACCAAAAAGACCAAAAACAATCCGAAATCGAATCCCTGTAACCCCAGTTTCACAAACTGATACATCAACTCCTATATCAAACTCCAAATCCAATTGTAGCATAAACACCCACCTACCTATATGTTACATGCATGATATTTACATCTCCAATATACAAATCCCAGATCAAACAAATCAAATAAATAAAAAATCCTAAAGCTTCATAGATAGATAGACTGCTCGTATTTACGGAGGAATCACGCGGAAATATATGCTCCTAATTCCTAACCCTAAAATTCGATTTAACACTAAAACCCCCAATTGCTAATTTAATTTTCCAAATTAAATCTAATTACAATACCAAAATCTTCAAATTAAGGCATTAAAGCCTTATTCTGACCTTAGAAAGAAGAAAATTAAAGAATTAAGAAAAGATAGATACCTGCTGCCTGCTGAAGTGGCTCTGTGCTGCTGTCTGCTGGCTAGGTGCAGTCGGGAGGGATGGAAAGAAGATGAAGAGGAAGGCTACGGGAGAGGATGAGGAAGAAGGATGAGGAGGTGGCTGGCTGGGTGCAGTCGGGAGGAAGGCTACGCGAGACAGAGTGAGGGAGAGGGCGAGATGAGCGAGAGAGATGAGGAGGAAGGACTCTTTTCCATTTTGTCCAAGTAATTTGGGAAAATTTAAAATAATCGCCTATTTTTTACAATTGGACGGTCATGATTTTGTTAAAATTTTGGGAAAATTCAAAATTGTCCAATTTGGACCGTCACAATTTTAACAAAATTATGACGTCGTGCTATTAGTTTTTGCTCGGCGACCTCATTGTAGAGTCGCGCTATTACTCTTTGCGCAACATCTCATTGTGGTGTCGCGCTAGTCATATTTTTTAAACAAAAATTATTATAAATTTATTGGAAATGTAATTTTACTCTTTTCAAATTCAATTTTTTTAAATAAAACCCAAAGATCCATCTGTCAAGCTTATTTGTATATATTTTGAGATCGCATACGTCCAAAATCCCCAAAAAAAAAGAAAAAAAGAACATTCAGTGATCAAGTATCGAGACAAAACTTTTCAACGGTTATAAATAAAAAATCACGATTTAACGGTAGTTTTAACTTCGATTTTAATGATTTTTTTACAGCTACACCCCTTGACCCTATATGAATACAATGAATGAATTTGATCTTCAATTTAAAATATTTATACTAGTGGATACCACAAAATCTTATGTTATACTTAATGAAAGTGTAAATAAACTCCGAGTGTTAATGAATCTATTGTTTTGATGGGATACACATTCTACGAAACTAGTTTCAACGATCTAACTATCGAACTTATTTGTATATACTTCGAGATCGCATACGCCAAAAATCGCAAAAAAACAAACATTTAGAGATCAAGTAAAGAGACAAAACTTTTCGACGGTTATAAACAAAAAATCACGATTTAACGGTAGTTTTAACTTCGATTTTGATGATTTTTTTTATAGCTACACTCATTGACCCTATATGAATACAATGAATGAATTTGATCTTCAATTTAAAATATTTACACTAGTGGATACCACAAAATCTTATGTTATACTTAATGAAAGTATAAATAAACTCAAGTGTTAGTGAATTTATTGTTTTGATGGGATACGTAATCTACAAACTAATTTCAACGATCCAACCATCAAACTTGTTTGTATATACTTCGAGATCGCATACTCCAAAAATCGCAAAACACAAACATTCATAGATCAAGTAACAGGACAAAACTTTTGGACGGTTATAAATGAAAAATCACGATTTAACGGTTATTTTAACTCTGATTTTGATAATTTTTTTACAGCTACACTCCTTGACCCTATATGAATACAATGAACGAACTCGATTTTCAATTTAAAATATTTACACTAGTGGATACCACAAAATCTTATGTTATGCTTAATGAAAGTATAAAAACCCTTTGCACAACGCAGTTGATACGTCGTGCAAACAACATTTGCATGACGCCTTGGTTGGTACGTCATGCAAACAACCTTTGCATGACAGATTGGTTTGTACGTCGTGCAAAAACAAAACACATACTACTTTCCGCTTGAGTGGACTATGTGGCCACTTGAGCAACAGAACACATACTACTTTCTGCTTGAGTGGAAGAAAAATAAACCGCTTGAGCAGCATACCCCAATGTAATGCCTGCTTGAGCGACCTATTAAATTTTTTTTTTAATAAATTTTTTGACTATTCTTAAAACAAAAGTAATGAAAACACAAAAATAAAGTGCCCACCCCCAAACTTAAATGAAACATTCTCCTCAATGTTTGCAAAAACTAATACACGCAATGCATTCATCAAAGCAAAGAAATGGAAAGACCACATAAAGAAAAAAAAATTGAAAAAAAAAATATGGCAACTCCCTTTAATGAAGTATCGAAGTTGACAAATCACCCATTCAACGATCAAACCATCAAACTTGTCTGTATATACTTCAAAATCGCATACGCCATACTATTTTAGTGTTGTGAAAAAAATCGTTGACTTTGCACAACGAAGATTGCCGTTGTGCAAAACAGTTTTGTGCGATGAAGGTACACCTTAGTCGTGCAAAACAGTTTTGCACAACAAAGACCTTCATCACGCAATGTTGGGAAAAAAGTGGTTGAAGTCTAGGTTTGGCGCCAAAAACTTGCGCGACGAGTAAACCGCGTCGCGCAAATAGTCTTTGTGCGACAGTGAAACAAAACGTTGTGCAAAGGTCATTTGAGTGACACGGTTTGTGCATCGCGCAAGCTTTTGGTTCCAAACCAAGACTTTTACTGCTTTTTCCCAACATTGTGCGACGAAGGTGAAGATTCGTCATGCAGATTAAGTGTAGCCAAGTTAGTTAAAACATTGTATTCCTCTCGTCACCCAAGTTAAAATTTATCACATTTAATTTAAATTAGATTACAATATTGCTCAAATATAAAAAAATAAAATAAAATAAAATAAAATAAAAACTGATAAGGAACAATTGGAAGACCAAAACGAAAGAATCCCCATAAGTAAAGGGAGCAAAAGGTGAACTTACACCATAAGCTCAAAGACTCGGGGAAAACAGTAGTCAACTTTCAAAAGTCCAGTGCTTTGAGGGTTAAGTGAGGTCTGTAATGAGTGTATATAAGTACAACTTCACTCAAAGACTTGTTAGACTTGTTAATGTTTCTTTTATTATTATGTTGTATCAAAAGAAAAATATTCTTGTGAATGTAGTTTATTAGAACATTTAAATGTTGAATAGTGTATTTTGTATTGTTTTTTCGTTTTTTTTTTTTTTTTTTTGCAATCCTTTTTAACGGTAAGTAGCACTAACTGGTATAGTAAGATTGAAAATAAAGGTTTTAAACAATTATGAAAATCAAATCTAACAACTAAAATAATGTAACACTAAATACTGCGTAGCATTAATGTCATGCCATTACTTTTGAACTATGGTAAATGTTTTATCCTATTTTTTAGATTATGGGGTATACTATCTACACACATTTTTTTTACTTCTCACACACCGCTTGTTAATTTTTTTCCATTGATATTCTTCAACTCATTTGATCCGATTGCCGAAAACCAAAAAAATATGAAAAAAGTAAAAAAATGTGTGTGGATATCACACCTCTAGAATATTGATTTCGGGTACTTCAGTGTCATGGCTGCTAATGCAGTAGACCAAATGAAACAATGAATCAACGAGTGTGGCAAAGGAGAATTCAATTCTGAGATATAATTTTGGGAAGAGAGGAATGATTAGACTAAGAGTTAGCAAAAGCTGAACCAACGAGAGGTGGCAGATAAGAATCATGAGATTCCCGGATAGGGATCTCTTTGTGAGGATATCTCATATTCTATCCGTTTATTATATATTATGTGGTTAGATTTCGTTAGATATTATTCATATTTAATTTTAAATAAAAAAATTAAAATGATTTCTAGCTATACAATGTACAATAAACAGATAAAATATAATGATCCAAATAAGATTCAAATCCAAGATTCCCACTACACGACATAATAAAATAAACAAAAAAAAATTAACGCCTAAAAGGACGTTGATGGGATCCACTGTTTGTGACTAGGTAAAACTTGTATCGGAAGCTCAAGACTTAATTAAATTTGCACCTTGAGTTTTAGTAGTTGTTCTATTTGGGTCTTTAAGCCTTTTTTTTTCGACCAAATTGGTCCCATAACTTTTAAAAAAATGTGGTAAATTGAGGACAAATCGAAAAGATTTTTCAGTATGCAGAAAACATAGTTTAGTACACCAAAGTATCATAATACAGTTAGTTGAAAAATTATTTTTTTAAGTTTCAATTGTATTGAACACCTTTCCATTGGTTTGTATTCATGTGATGGTGGCCATATAAGAAATTTGCTATTTTTGTATGTATGTGTAAATTATCTCTAGATTAACATTTAAATTATTAATCCTTATTGGCACTTCTGCAAATGTATAATTTTTTGGTTGATAAATAAAATATCGCTGTCGTTTCCTGTTAAAAATAATAAATGTTGTGTGCAATTCAATCTAGATGGTTTCTCATTGTCATGAAAACTAAGTGGAAGATTGTCTTGTTTAGATAAGACCTTATTCTTCAAACCACTATGCCCAACGTATAAACTCTCATGTATCTATTAGGCCCTGTTTGGCACACTGTATAAGACACCGGATAATACTAATAATACGGAGGACGGTGTTTGGTGTCTTTTTATACGGTGTTTACCCTCTTCCTTATACCGTCCAAAAGCACGGTATAATTTAGTCAGGCTTCTCTCGCTCCCTCCTTCCTCTCCAGACGGTCTCGTCCTCTCCAGATGCACTCCTCTCTCATCTGAATCCCAGGTTTGTCTTCTCAAATTCTTCTTCTTCGTTTGCATCACAGTTCACCTTTTCATTTTTCTTCTTCTTCTTCCCGGGCTTCTCTCGCTCTCTCCTTCCTCTCCAGACGGCAGTCTCCAGACACTCTCTCTTCCTCTCCAGAAGCTCACTCACTCTCTCTCTCCCTCCTCACCACTCTCCCCCAACTTTCTCCTCGTCTTTATCATTATGGTGCTGCTTTTTTCCGGCTACCCAAAAACCGCAGTGCTTGCCTGGTATGCCTCTTTGATTTTGAGTATAAAGTTCTAATTTTTATTCATATGGGTTCTTATTTTTGCTGTGTATGTTTAAGATTTTGCACCCACTGGAATCAAATTTTGGTGGGTTTTGTGAATTGGGCATCGAGTTTCTTATGCTTTTAGAGAAATGGGTTGCCAGTGATGTTTTGATATTTCAATAGTTGGACTTGTGTGGCTGCATGCGTTTTTTGATTTCTTCTGGATTTAGCTAACTGAGTTGTTGTAGAAAAAGGTATGTAGGCTAAAAATATATTGATACGTGAATGTGGAAAAAATGGAAGATAATGCTTTTTTTCTCATTATCTTTCTCTACAAGATTACAAGGATATATATACATGATACAAGTGTGTAGATAGGACAAGGTAGCCGTCCTAGTGTGTAGGTAGGACAAGGTAGGACGGCTGTAGGACGACTTGACGGTTGTAGGACCGCTAGTGTGTAGGTAGGACAAGGTAGGACGGCTTGATGGCTGTAGGACGGCTAGTGTGTACGTAGGACAAGGTAGGAGGCTGTAGGACGGCTTGACGGCTGTAGGACGGCTAGTATATTCCTTATTTGTCTAACACTCCCCTTCAAGTTGGAGAGTGGATGTCAAGAACTCCCAACTTGCGTAACATACCCGAAAACTTTTCTTTCCCAAGAGGTTTAGTAAACAAGTCTGCCAACTGTTGTGCCGTACCCACATGCTTGGTCTCTATTGTGCCATCTACAATCTTATCTCGTATAAAGTGACAATCCATCTCAATGTGACGAGTTCGTTCATGAAAAACAGGATTGGCAGCTATATGTAACGCTGCTTGATTATCACAAAATAAAATGCAAGGACCATCCAAAGGAATGTTCAAATCCTTCAACAAAAAATGAAGCCAAACTATCTCGCAACAAGCACCTGCCATGGCCCTATATTCCGCCTCTGCTGAAGAGAGCGAAACGGTTTTCTGTCGTTTCGTCCGCCAAGAAATCAAAGAACCGCCCAAGAATACACAATACCCAGTAGTCGAACGGCGAGTGATAGGGCAACCTGCCCAATCAGAATCACAAAACGCAGTTAACTTGGTCTGGTTGTCAGAACGAAATAATAAACCTTGACCTGGAGTAGCCTTCAAATAACGAACAATACGAAGCGCAGCATCCATATGAGATATCATTGGCTCGTGCATAAAACGGCTTAGAACATGCACAGAATAGGTGATATCCGGCCGAGTGATAGTGAGATATATTAACCGACCTACTAATCGTCGATACTTTTCAGGATCCTTGAGAAGTTCTCCTTTATCAGATAATTTTGTGTCATCCATAGGAAAAGCAATGGGTCGTGCTCCCAAAAAACCATAGTCCTTGAGAATCTCTAATGCATACTTGCGTTGAGAAATATAAATCCCTTATTTGGAACGAGAAACCTCAATACCCAAAAAATATTTTAAATCACCAAGGTCTTTTATCCGAAAATGATCACGGAGAAAAGACTTCAGAGAATTAATGGCACTAGTATCATTGCATGTAATCACAATATCATCCACATAAATGAGCAAAGCTGTGAAAGAAATACCAGACTTTTTAGTGAACAATGAATAGTCAGCTTTGGATTGTTGAAAACCGGCAGAAATGATGGCACTAGTGAATTTGGCAAACCATTGGCGAGAAGCCTGCTTAAGACCATAAAGTGACTTGTGAAGGCGACACACAAGATTCTCCCCCTGTCGCCGAAGACCAGTCGCCGAAGACCAGGAGGAGGAGACATATAGATTTCTTCATGTAAGTCACCATGTAAGAAAGCATTATTAACATCAAGCTGATGAAGAGACCAAGACTGACTAGCAGCAAGAGCAAGAAGACAACGCACCGTAATCATCTTAGCAGTAGGAGAAAAAGTGTCATGATAATCAATACCTTCAGCCTGAGTGAAGCCTTTAGCAACCAAACGAGCTTTGTAGCGGTCAATAGAGCCGTCGGAATTGTGCTTGAGTTTGTACACCCACTTACAACCAATGGGAATTTTGCCAGGGGGCAAGGAAGTTAAAGTCCAAGTACCATTAGCATGTAAAGCTTGAAGCTCCTCAGTCATAACACGTTGCCAATTGGGGTCAGTGGCAGCCTCGGCAAAGGAGGAAGGCTTCACAGTCCGACTGACAGAGTTAATGTAAGAAAAATGCCTGGGAGAGTAACGGTGATAAGAGAGAAAATTACAAAGTGGATATCGCGTACCTTGTGTAGAACCGGGTTGCGAAGTCGAAGATGGGTGGGATGGCAAAATCACCTGCGAGCAAACGTAGTCTTTTAAATAGGATGGAGGTTTATGGGCACGGGAAGAGGTGCGGGGAAGGGGAGGAGTGGTAGGTAGTGGGGGGGGTAGGGATGTCCGTGGGTAAAGGGGCATGGGGAGGAACGGGTAATGGGGCAGCAAGGGAATCTGTGGGAGGCGTGGAAGGGGAGGAAGGTGGAGGAGGGTGAGGCGTCGGGGCAGGAAGGGGTGGGTTATATGTAAAGTCCAGAAGGGGTGGGATGGGTAGGGTAGGCGAAGAGGAAGAGATAGGAGGGTGAGAAACGGCATAAGGGAAAGTAGTTTCGTGAAAGATGACGTCTCGACTAGTGAAAATGCGGTGATTGTCGAGATCGTAAAGGGTATAGGCCTTTTGTCCATGAGGATAACCGAGAAAAATGCAACGATGAGCCCGAGGGGAAAATTTGGTGGTGGGAGTGACAGAGGTGGCATATGCCAGACAACCAAAGACGCGGAAGTGGTCATAAGATGGGGTTTTCGAAAAGAGAACCTCAAATGGGGATTTATGATGGAGAAGACGGGTAGGGAGACGATTGATGAGATAAGTAGCGGTAAGAACACATTCCCCCCAAAACTTGATAGGAAGATGAGATTGAAAACGAAGGGCGCGAGCGGTTTCAAGAAGATGACGATGTTTTCTTTCAACAACGCCATTTTGTTGGGGGGTATAAACACAAGAAGTTTGTAAAAGCACCCCATGATCAGAGAAAAAACTACGAAGAGATAAAAATTCACCACCATTGTCAGTACGAATGCATTGGATGGTAGTGCGGAATTGGGTAGTGACATAAGCAAAAAAATCCTTAATTAATTGTTGAGTGTCGGATTTATGTTTCATGAGGAAGACCCACGTAAAGCGAGAAAAATCATCCACAATGGTTAAGAAATAATGAGCACCAGAAAGAGAAGATTGACGATTCGGGCCCCAAATATCACAATGAATTAAAGCAAAAGGAAAAGTTGATGAAATTGAACTCAAAAGAAAAGGTTGACGAGTTTGTTTTGCCAACGGACAAACATCACAAATATGACTAGAATCAAAAGGACAATTAAGAGAGCTAGATGCTAAAGCTTGCAAACGAGTGGAGGAGGGGTGACCAAGACGCCTATGCCAGAGGGAGGAGGGGATGGTAATGAAGTTGCAGAAAGGTTGACGGGTGGGGAGAGAAGAGGTAAGGGCCACAAGGTAATACAGATCGCCACGTCGCTTACCCACACCAATCATCGCCTTCGAAACCAAGTCCTGCAAAACACACCAAGAAGGAAAGAAGGTTATGGAACACGATAATCCATCTGTAAGTTTACCAACCGATAAAAGGTCCACTCGGAAATTAGGGACACATAAAACATCCTTCAAAGTAACTGATGAATTTAAAGGAAGAGTGCCGGTAAAAGTAATGGGAGCGGAAGCACCACTAGGCAAAGAAACGGGCTGCAAATGTGAAGGAGAACGATTAACCAAACATGAGGCGGAAGAAGTAATATGATCCGTAGCACCACTGTCAAGAATCCATTGACCATGACGAGAGGTGACAGGTAACAAACCTTGGGCAAAATCAGTAGTGAGCACGGCATTGGCCTGAGGAGGGGTGGTGGTGTCACGTAGAGCAGCTAAAACACGGGAGTACTGCTCGGCAGAGAGGTCAGGCATGGCAAGCTGCAAGTCATGCATAGTGGGCTGGGCCCCGTGCACTTGGTGGGTCGCTGGAGTAGAAGAGGAGGCAGGGGCTTGGGTGCCTTGCACGTGATGGGCCTGGGTGAAATTATGGGGCCGGGAAGCAGAAAACCGTGGCTGCCGGGGAGGACTGGAAGGTGCATGGTTGCGGGAAGAACTGGAAGCAGTGGCACGACGCGGTGGTCGCCACGGTTGGCCATGGAGGGGATGGGCAACGGGATAGCCATGAAGTTTATGGCAGGTGTCTCGGGTATGATAATCAAAATTGCAGTAGGTGCAGTGGAGGGGAGGACGAGCAGAGGAGGGACGGGACGGGCCACGAACAGCCATGGGAACGGCAGAGAAAGCTGCCGAGAAAAAAAATTAGGGCTAGGGTTATAAACCTGCTCTGTATACCATGTAGAAAAAGGTATGTAGGCTAAAAATATATTGATACGTGAATGTGGAAAAAATGGAAGATAATGCTTTTTTTCTCATTATCTTTCTCTACAAGATTACAAGGATATATATACATGATACAAGTGTGTAGATAGGACAAGGTAGCCGTCCTAGCGTGTAGGTAGGACAAGGTAGGACGGCTGTAGGACGACTTGACGGTTGTAGGACGGCTAGTGTGTAGGTAGGACAAGGTAGGACGGCTTGATGGCTGTAGGACGGCTGTAGGATGGCTAGTATATTCCTTATTTGTCTAACAGTTGTGCTGTTAATCTGTTTGTTCTCCAACTTTCTTACGATTTAAGTGCTTTTAGGTGAAGTGCTTCCTGTGCTTATTTGTTCTGTCTTAGTACTTGTAGCTCAGAGGTATGAAATTTGATAGTATTTCGTGTTAATTTTTAATTGAACTTGAAGAATGAGGAATGCATATCTTGCTTGTGAAATTTGATACTATTTTTCTTTTTGTTATTTGAAATTTATGTGGTTCTCAAAAGGTATAAATATAAGAAAAGTTCAACAAACAAACAAAGATTTGTCAAATTGTTTTTTCCCTTGTCCTATCCGGTTCAGTACCAAACACAGTATAAATAATACGATCATTAGTCAAATACTGTACCAAACGCTCGATTAATTTAGTTAGTACCAAACACAATATAAAATTAACCGTAGCCAAATTAACTAGAACAGGATACTCTCCTCTCATCACTTTAAAATTTATCACACTGTAGTTTAACTTAGATTATAATATCAGTCGAATAAAAAAATGATAAGAAATAGTTGGAAGTCCAAAAGATGAACTTGCACCACAAGCTCAAATACTTGGAAAAAGCACTAGCCAATTTTCAAGAGTCGAGTGATTTGAGTGATCAGTGGGTCTTTGATGAGCCTATATGAATGCAACTTCACTCATTCTGCTTCCGCACACAATCCAAAACACTGATCCATAATCACAGTTCAAAGTTGAGAGAGAGAGAGAGAGAGAGAGAGAGAGAGAGAGATGAATAGTGGCAGCATCACAACTGAAGAAGGAAATGCAGTGCATGCGAATGTGATCCTACTACCTTCGGTCAGATTCAACCCCACTGACGAGTTGCTGGTCAGCTACTACTTGAGGAGCAAGATCCAGGGCACCGACTCCCTCTTCCGCCACACCATCCCGGAAATCGATGTCTGCAAGTACGAGCCCTGCGATCTTCCTGGTAAACCCATTATTCTATCTCACTTTTTCTTCACTAGCAATACATCTTGTTTCCAATGGATTCTGCCGTTGATTATGTAAATCTATACCATCTTGTTTCAGTTTTTCTTCATTCAGAATTGAATTGGGTTGGTTTCGATTTGTTGTTTTCTGTAGTGATTCCAGGGCTCTATTTCTATTGTATGATGTTGTATGCATAAATTTATGGTCTTATCAGTTTTTGTACCTCAAGAATTGGAGTCCGATGTTCCGGGTTCAAATTCCCTCCTCCCTCCCCTTAGCATAGCTCAAAGTAAAGTAGTAATATCACTTGTACCTCAAGAATTGAAGTGGGTTGGTTTCAATTTCAATATATTGTTTTGTGTTGTATCAAAAATCAAAAAATTTGTTTTGTGTTGCATTTCGATTTAATTTCCCTTTAAATAGCCGACCGATCGATATCTCTTTCCTATCGTATAATATTGTTGCACCCAAAAATTTATAATCTTGTTTCAGTGTTTGTGTTTTTTGTTCTTCAAGAGTTGGAGTGGGTTGGTTTCAAATTTTGAACATTTTGTTTTGTTGTTGGATTTCAGCATTCTTCCCAGAAGTTCATGGGAAGGAGTGGTTCTTCTTTAGCCGGCTCGACCGCAAGTACAACAACAGCCTTCGCTGCAAACGGGTCACGGATCAAGGCTTTTACAAGATCACAGGGAAGGACCGTGAGATCAGGGCTGAAGAATCCAAAGCTGTGATTGGGAAGAAGAGGATTCTGACCTTTTACGAAGGTCGTGGATCGAAAGCAAAGAGGAGGACCGATTGGGTAGTCCATGAGTATTCTCTCACAGAAACTGAGGTGAGTTCTAAACCCGCCAAGCAGATGCACTTTGTCCTCTGGCGCCTGAAGAACAAGTCAGCTAGTTATAAGAAGCCGAAGGGTGATCCAATCCGCGGCGAATTAGCTGATTCAGGTGCTAACTCGGAAGATGATCAAGCTGCTGTAAGTGATGTGATTGCAGAGCCAGTGGAACATCTGGGATACTTCTTTGATAACCTTCAGATTGAAACTCTTATCTCTAGTACCTATTGCTTTAATTAATTTCCCTGCATTAGCTGCTGCGTTCCTGTGCAGCATTTCTTCTTTTTCTGTACTCCTTTCATGTAGTATTGCTGTTATGTTGTTTATTTAATCAAAGAGTGTTTCTTGTGGCACATTACAAAATTACACTTAATTGTGAACGGGTCCAAACATAAATAATAAAACCCTATTCTTTTCGAGTAATGGCGAAATTGTGATGGAAGAAATTTGTTCCCAAATTACAAGTTTCTGTCAACGCTCTCGAACTAATTTTTCTTCCAGACCTACAGGTACAACGTTTGACAAGTATAGGATCTTTGAATTTGATCTAACGATTTTCAAACCCTCAATTAAAACCAATAAAATCAACTTTATAATCAAATATTCGTGGATACTAAATCGATGTGCTACTCAAGAAAAATCGATAGTCGTCATCTGGGGAAGAAAAGAATAGTACAAAGCTTGAATTTTGGCTTGTCAATCTCCAATTACAAAGTAAAAGACATGATAGCAAGTGGAGGGATCCACACTCAAAGGCATTTCCGCACACGTCTGAAAATTCGACATCTGTTACATCTTTGTCAACATTCTTGTCAGTTGTCACTCCTCGTGGACATGGACATGCACAGTAGACGTAGTGACGTGATGCTCTGCCTTCACAAACAAGGAACAATTATTTTTGTGAGCAAGGCTTTCCAACTCCCATGTATCAGATTTGAAATCCTTGTCCTGTTTCTTGCGCTTCAAGTAACGGTCCACCATTTCATACGGAGTGGGGTAGAATCTGAACCCTACTGGGTCTGAAACCCCTCCTCTTGTTTTTCTGTTGCTTCCCATATGTTTGTGTGTGTGAACTGAAAAGAAGATGCAACTGCAAGTTGTTTACTCACTTCAGAATACTCCAGTAGTATTTGATCCCAACCAATTAAGTCCTGGGTTCCTAAACAAGTCAGCTGACGTGCCAGCGTTTTGTTTCTTTAATTTTAATATTTTGCCCTTTTGATCAACCCCTCTTGGCAGTTTTCCTTTTTCCTTTACTTTTCAGGGACTGGGAGACAACCCCTCTTGGAAGTTTAGCTTTTAGAAGTACTTTTACGTTTGGAATCGGATTCTCTTTCCTTCTTAATCTCTCTTTCCTTTTATCCCTTCCTACTTGAACAATTAAGCTACATCAACATTTTACATTAATTTTTTTATAGACACAACAAGGCAGAAAACAAAGTATGAAAGGCGAAGAGGGAAGGGGATGAAAATAGAAGGAAGAGAATCCTACTCCAGTTCATATTATGCGGTGGTTGCCATAGAGGAAATTTACTATTGTTGTATATCTATGTAAATTATCTCTAGATTAAAATTTAAAAGGTAAATTACATTTTACTCCTCAGATTTGGGATCAATTTCAATTCCTTACAACATCTTTAAAACATTTCAATTTCATACATTTACTTATCATTTTATTTCAATTTCATATGTCTGTTAGAAAATTTGTTAAGTAAACCGTTAAGTGATGACGTGGCAAATATAAGATTCACATTTGTGCTGACATGGCTGCCACATTGTGCCATGTGGCAAAAAAATTAATTTTTATGCATTTAAAATATAATATTATTTACCCTGTTAAAAAAATAAAAAAATAAAACCACAAAACAAAACTAACCCAGAATCCCCCGCAACCCACTTCTCCATCTCCTCCCTCTTCACCTCCCATCCCTTCTCTCTCACCCAAACCCACTTCTTCCTCTTCACCCCCAACCAATCTTCAGCTTCGAGGCCTCAGTCAAGACTTTCTAGAAGACGACGGTGTCGGAGATCACAACATCAGGCGAATCGCCGAATAGGCGTCAGAGATAGTGAAAGGTCGGGTTGATCAGATTTCGATGCCGGTGCGGCGAGCTCTTTTGCTCCGAGCACCAGTCCTCTGACCGCCATGTGTGTAGCTACAACTATTTAGGGTTTTGGTTGGGGGGTTGCGAGGGAGGTGGGGGTGGGGTTGGGGGTGAAGAGGAAGGAGTAGGTTTGGGGAGAGAGAAAGGATGGGAGGTGAAGAGGGAGGAGATGGAGAAGTGGGTAGGTTAGTTTTGTTTGGTTGTTTTTATTTTATTTTTTATAATAGGGTAAATAATATTATATTTTAAATGCATAATAAATTAATTTTTTTGCCGCGTGGCACAAATGTAGCAGTCACGTCAGCACAAATATGGATCCCATATTTGCTACGTCATCACTTAACAATTTACTTAACAGGTTTTATAACAGATGTATGAAATTGAAATAAAATGGTAAGTAAATGTATGAAATTGAAATGTTTTAAAGATGTAGTAGGGAATTGGAATTGAAATTGATTAAAAACCTGAGGAGGTAAAATGTAATTTATCCAAATTTAAATTATTAATCCTTAAAAATTTACACATTTGGCACTTTTGTAGATGTATAATTTGTTGATTGATAAATAAAATCTCGCTGTCGTTTCTTGTAAAAATTAATAAATGGTGTGTGCAATTCAATTCAAATGGTTTCTAATTGTAATAATAACTAAGTGGAAGATTGTCTTGTTTAGATAGGATTTTATTCTTCAGCCCACTAGCCTAGGGTATAAATTCTCCTACATCTCTTAGTGTTGTTGCCTAGAGTAGTAATACGATTTGTAATTAAAATTGTGTAAAATTAACCGTAGCTAAGTTAACGAGAACAATATACTCTCATCTCATCGCCTAAGTTAAAATTTATCACAGTGTAATTTAAATTAAATTATAATATCACTCAAATAAAATAAATTATAAGAAATAGTTGGAAGACCAAAATGAAAGAAATCCGGTAAGTGTAGGGAGCAAAAGATGAACTTGCACCACACGATCAAAGACTTGGTAAAACACTAGTCAACTTTCAAAAGTGGTTCTGTGATGAGCGTATATAAATACAACTCCACTCATTCTGCTTCCCCACACAATCCAAAACACTGTTCGATAATCACAGTTCAAAGTTGAGAGAGAGAGAGAGAGAGAGAGAGAGAGATGAGCAGCAGCGTCGCACCTGAAGAAGGAGATGCAGTGCGTGTGAATGTGAGCCGACTACCTGGGTTCGGATTCTCCCCCACTGATGAGTTGCTGGTCAGCTACTACCTGAAGAACAAGATAGAGGGGACGGATTCCCATTTCCGCCACGTCATCCCTGAAATCGATGTCTGCAAGTACGAGCCCTGCGATCTTCCCGGTAAACCCATTATTTTATCTCACTTTTTCTTCACTAGCCATACATCTTGTTTCCAATGGATTCTGCCGATGATTATGTAAATCTATACCATCTTGTTTCAGTTTTTCTTCGTTCAGAATTGAATTTGGTTGGTTTCGATTTGTTGTTTTCTCTAGTGATTCCAGTGCTCTATTTCTATTGTATGCATAAATTTATGGTCTTATCAGTTTTTGTGTTTTTGTACCTCAAGAATTGGAGTCCGATGTTCCGGGTTCAAATTCCCTCCTCCCTCCCCTTAGCATAGCTCAAAGTAAAGTATAATATTGTTGCACCCAAAAATTTCCCTTTAAATAGCCGACCGATATAATTTCCCTTTAAATAGCCGACCGATATCTCTTTCCTATCGTATAATATTGTTGCACCCAAAAATTTATGATCTTGTTTCAGTGTTTGTGTTTTTTGTTCTTCAAGAGTTGGAGTGGGTTGGTTTCAAATTTTGAACATTTTGTTTTGTTGTTGGATTTCAGCATTCTTCCCAGAAGTTCATGGGAAGGAGTGGTTCTTCTTTAGCCGGCTCGATTACAAGTACAACGGCACTCGCTGCAACCGGGTCACGGATCAAGGCTTTTACAAGATCACAGGGAAGGACCGTGAGATCAGGGCTGAAGAATCCAAAGCTGTGATTGGGAAGAAGAGGATTCTGACATTCTATGAACGTCATCTGCCGAAATCAAAGAAGACTAATTGGGTAGTCCATGAGTATAATCTCACAGAAACTAAGGTGAGTTCTAAACCCACCAAGCAGATGAACTTTGTCCTCTGGCGCATAAAGAACATGTCAGGTAGTTATAAGAAGCCGAAGGGTGATCCAATCCACGGCGAATTAGCTGATACAGGTGCTACCTCGGAAGATTATCAAGCTGCTGTAGTGATGTGATTGCAGAGCCAGTGGAACAGCTGGGATAATCCTTTGATAACCTTCAGATTAAAACTCTGGTCTCTAGTAAATATGGCTTTAATTAATTTCCCTGCATCAGCTGCCGCGTTCCTGTGCAGCATTTCTGCTTTTCCTGTAACCTTATATGTTGTATTCTTGTTAATGTTGTTTACTTAAAACCTATTAATCTCAGTGGAATTTTGTGTGTTATATTATCTTCTCATTTTTTTAGCCAAAATGTTAAGTGATTGATTGTGCTTTTTTTTGCTTTTTGTTTTTATAAACCTTCGATGGTACAAGAAGAATTTTATTGATAACGCAAAAGAAGTTACAACTAGTATAACTCCTCAAAAGGATCTCCCGTTCTTCCATCAAATATTCTACTTTTTTCGGATACTCAATTTCAAATACCCATGGATTTGATGTTTGCTTATGAAAAAAAATAAAGCCCTTTATCGGATTTGAATCAATGACTTACGCCTTACCATAGCGTTACTTTACCACTGAGTTGAAAAGGCTCACTAATGAGTACCGCATCTTCAGAATTGTAACCTTCCCATGCCATATAAGCTACTAATATGTTTTTTCCCAAAGCAGTTCACCGCCTACCGTAGTACCACCATCTGCTAAAATTTGTCCCTTTTTAATACATTTACCTTGCCAAACCTAGGGTTTTTCGTGCATACAAGTATTTTTGTCGCAAAGTTGATATATAACTAATGGAATGTTTAGAGTATCCCCATTTCCCAATAAAATGATCTTGTCAATATCAACATTACCCTTCTAGAAAAGCAAACAATAAAGATACAAAGAAAAGAGACGGGACATGAAACCTAACCCTTCTAAAACCAAACCTAAAAATCTAAACCTGCAAAATAGATTAAGCAACATCACAAGGTCAAGGAGAAAAAAAAGTGAGCCAAACCTATATGCCCATTTGCAAATTAATTTGAGAAACGGTAGCCAAGAAAGAAAGTATAGTCTGAAAAATAAGCAACACGAGCCGCC